TCATTAGACCTTCACAAAGGGGGGGGGGGGAACAGAAGAGTGAGTGACAGATGTAAAAGAGGTAGACAGACAAAAGCAGAGAAGAAGGTGAGGTGAGTGCTGCGAAAGACGTCGAATATGGCAGAGAGTCGGGTCTTGGTAATTCGAAGTTAGAAGCCAACTGCCGATCGATAGACATTTTTGCCGCATTAGTATACGTTGTTCACGGTGCATCACGTGGAGGTACGTCTATCGCACACCCCCCCCCCTTTAGTCAAAATATTTATATACTATATAATGCCTGATAAAGTGAAAATTTTACATTCATTTATCGATAAAATCTCAAAATTGGACTCTTTTGCATATTAACGATAGTGACCATGACATCCGCAGGAGAACACGATTTTATTAATTACTAATCACAAAAATCTCTTAATATTTTTCGAATACTTTACATAATCAATTTTTATCATTCTCAATTTGAAAAGTTAGGTCTTGTTAAGCAGTGTACAAGTTGTCATTATAGTGCAGATTCTGCAAGGTCTCTGCAAATTCAATAAGGTGAAGCCACTGAAGATGAGTCCTTTCAAAACGACAAATAGGAAATCAAACGTACGAGATTAATAGTACAAATAGTATCCAGGAGCTGTTAAAGAACATTGAAGAGTTTGGATACTTCCAGTTGTAAAATTAAATTAAATTAATTAGTCATCGTCGCAGCAAAATAATAAAATTGTACTTAGATCTCTCCTCAGCGGATCAAAGTCGTTCATACTCTAATGAGTACCCTTTGCTTTCTGTACTCGCAGCAATAGTGAATATTCCAAATAGTTCCTTAATAATAGTGCCTTCATGATAAGCCCAAAACAGCACCTAATCCTTGATAATTTGGGTTATCTATTTACTTCAACTAATTTTAATTAAATCGCTTATTAGTATCAAGCAGTTATTGATTGATTAATAATTCAATTTCGTTGAAATTTGCTTTCGTAACTAACTAATACGGGCACGTAATAGACACAGTTACCTCCATGACTTCTGAACAGTGCCAACTTTCATGCATAAATTAAATTCAAAAATTTTAGTTCTTTTTCCAATTTGCAACGTGCTCCAGTAATTAAGCGCGGAAGGATTTCCTCGACAAGTTACAACTTGTCGAGGAAATTTGGCATAGCGTGAGGACTGTGAGCTTATACTTAATTAATGATTTTTCCATGTGAATGCCTATGCAAAACGACAAATCTTCATCAACCCCCCCCCCCTCCCCTTCCATTCGCTAGGTATCTCAGTTATCCATCAGGAGGTTATTTTACTTTAGAAGGATAACACACACACGTTAAGACCTGTCAAGAGGAAGCAAGTGTGACGTGTAGAAGAGTACACATATCTCCCTAGAAATTTTGATTAATTTAAGGAGAGAAAGTATGTGAATGTTTTCTCATGAAAATCGATATTTTTGGCCTAGATTCAAGGAAATCGTGTCGTACGCTCACAATAATGATATGGAGGTTTTTTGTATTAAGAAAATCCGGTAATTAAACGCATTCGATGATCCTTCGCTGCACGTCACCAGTCATGGTTGCTATTACCCATGACAAGGCTGGAGCAGACAACTTTATAATCGTGTGGAAGGATCTGTTTAAGTGGAAAACAAAACAGTCCAAAGTAGAAATGAAGAAGACGAGATTTATTAGAAATTCTTGATTTGTCCATCTAATTTATGAGTCCTCGCTCATTTGAGCAAATGTGCTCAGTCGTAAGATGATAAATTTGTTCAGTCATTCAATCCACATAATTAAGGTACTTGTCCACACCTTTTAGTCGTTACAGTAATTGTTTAATGCCAAAACAACTTAAAGTACATCTTCAAGAGAATTCTAAAGTACAACTGAATAGGCCTATAATGGCATATTTCTTAAACTCTCTTTGTTGTGTTTATTTTGAAATTACTCCAAGGGATTTTGCTTATGAAATGTACAAATCAACAATACTTAGTTCTCTGCGGTTACACCCTGTAGAGGCACTATCCTACGATCTGCCTTTACTCAAAATTCGTATTTTCGACACCTAATACATTCTATTCACTCATTGACGATGTGAAAGGGAAAATCTACTATTCTCCTCACACTCCCATCCACTTCGCGTAAAATTAAATTCATTTTCATATCATTTGACCACTATGTCTGATATGATTAGTCAGGGGTTATTCTTGTGTCATTTGGCTAGGTTTCAGTTAATATTCAATTCACAGCTGCTATACCAATGCGTATCCCATTCCCCTCTTGAATTAATAGCATAACTTAAATCCATAAAAATTATCGATTTTCTCCATGATTTGCTAACTATATTAAAATGCAAGCGTTTCCTTTTGATGAGTTGCACATTTACTTTCGATTTATCTAACTCAAATCGATAGCCGATTGCTACACTAATGACCCTTGAAGTATGCTCAGTAATCTCTGTGGTAAGGCCTCCTTGTTCTTAAAGGCTCCCAGGAATAGAAAGGCTACCGTAAACTATAGAGGAAACAGGTGTAGTGTATGGAACATGTCTTTTTTGTGGGGTGTGTGTTGCAGACACAGTTATTTTAATACAAGGAGGGGTTTACGAAGTCAAGCAAGGCTTATCGATTGATGGCTAGTTGGGTGGTCTTTGCGCTCACGAGAGCACCTTCGACCACAGCAATGACAACGTTGCTCGCTTCACAGCACTTATACTCGTAATATTCAAGAGTGATATGCAGCGTTTCAACAGCCTCCCACAGCCGTTGATCGTAAATCCCACAAAATTCCAAGTAAACACTAACAAGGATTCAAATTCATCAGTTTTGTCTTAATCGCCATTTCAGTAAACGAAGTTTAATGTACTTAGAGGTAATAATTTACTTGATGGTAGTTGTCCACATTACCCTAAAAAGCATTCAACATTAAATGGCATTCGCTTAGCAAAGTAAAATCAAGTCAGTTAAGAGATTAGACCAACTAGAGATTCTGGAAGAAAGTACTTTTTATCACTTATGAAGCCCCCTAGAACTCGTTTCTTCTTATACTACAAAGAACTCTTAAAGATCAACATCGAGAACTAAAGATTCAATTCCTTATTTATTCAATAAAAGCTGGACTATTCGTGGGTCATCTCAACTTAATTAAATTGAAAAGAGAGTTGAAAATGCGTAAACTTCATGCTTGAAATATTCAGCATTTTAATAGAATTGTTATTTGTTCGTGTTTCTTAAATTTTACAAACTCTCGTTCAATCTCTCGGAGAATATTGTGCAGTCAATTTAGGAGATAAATTGAAAAGAGGGTTAAAAAATTAAAATGGTTACATTTGGTCGTAAATTGAATAATTTACAAAAACCTGAATATCCACTAACCCAAATATGGGAATTAATTGACTAAAATTGACGAGATTTCTAAATTACCTAATCTAATTTTTTATTTATATCAATTGCAGGCTTTATGATGACTATCATTAGCCCTTTATTTAACTTTAGGCATTACAAATTCGAGGATCATCAAAGTCACAAAATGTCGATGAGGGGGGAAGGACAGAAGAGTGATTGACAGATGTAAGAGACAGACAAACACAAAAGTAAGGTGAGGTAAGTACTGGGAGAGTGATTGAACGTGACATACAGTGAGGTGATGGTAGTTTGAAGTCAGAAGTCAACTGCCGGTTTATAGACATTTTTGCCGTATAAGTATACGTTTCCCAGGGTGCACCACGTAGAGTTAGTCAAATATAACTGAATCCATTTCTTCCCAATGCACTTCCAGTGATGTGAATGTCCAAAAACAGAGGTGAATATCTGTCAACGAGAGTGATTAAAAAATGTAGTTTCCTCTGTAAATTAATAATAGATTTTATAACAATCATACGTTAACGAAGGTTTATATTTTAAGATATATAATTTAAAACGCAAAGACTATAGATATCTTCAAACTAATGACACCCGTTTTGGCTTACTAAACTTCATTCTTTTAAGAAATTTAGGCAATTTTGGCTGAAGCATAGGATTAAAAGGCAGTTGAACGATTATGTCAATGCTTGACTGTTTTGGTTTTATGTTTATTTATTTGCTTTTTCTTAACCAAGGCGGCATTTATTTATAAATATCAAATATCAGGCTTCATGATAGTTACCATTAGCCTCTTAGTTGACTTCGGCCTTCACAGGGTAACGGAACATCAAAATCACAAAAAAAGTGGTGAGAGGGAACAGATGCGTGATTCGTGGATGTAAAAGAGACAGACACAAAGGTTGGGAAAAAGGAAAGGTGCGATGAGTACTGTTGAAGTGGTCGAATAGGACATGCAGTGGAGTCATGATAGTTTGAAGTCAACTGCTAGCATGTAGACATTTTTGTCATATATGAGTATACGTTGCCCAGGGTGCATCACGTGAAGGTAAGTCTACCGTGACATAAGTGTTAGTAATTGTCTCGTTTAGTACTGAGCCTGTGATTAATCTACTTTTAAATAAAAACTTCCGAAACAATTAGAAGAAGTTTTCTCACAGCACATGGTTTGGACAGACTGTAGTCATCCTGTAGTGGCTCTCATGAGAAATCAACATTTGGTCACATCTCATATTAACCGGAATTAACCAAAGCAGTTTGTCAAATACCCCACTGCGAATGTCTCTAATCAGACTCCCTAACCCCCAGACAATTTTCTATTTGTATTTTCCTCTAAATTCTATCTTTAAGAGATTTTTTCCATTGTTATGTGTAATAATTACATTCTGATCATGTTATATCAAAAATTGCAACTCTCCTCCATAACTTGCAAGAGTAGCACATCGGGCCAATCGATTCTTCGTGAGATCTATTTAAGAAGGCGTCAGTGTCCTTACATAATACTGCCATTGTACTTTTCAAGAATACCGACAGCAGTAAAAATCGTCATCAGTACAATCACCGAAGGTAGTAGCCAAGACGATGTATCTAACTGAATCAAGCGCGTGCACTACTTGCAACCACGCCCGCACTTTACCCGATGTCTTAAAATGATGCTTCCGGAGAGTTCCATTCTCATTATTCCAATTGCTTCTGCAGTGGCAAGACGTGTTGCTCCGCATTTCAGCATCTTTCACCTAACAGCTATCTCAAGCATGTGTTTTGAAACAGCCTTCGTTGTAAGTTGCACATTCTCTTATAATATATTTCCCTCTAATCTTGTTTGCTTATTATCTCTCTATTTTGAAACTCACTCTCTCTCTCTCCCCTCCCCAAAATCTATTTTTTTTCTTTTTTTGCAACATACTAATGCTTATCACGCTAACGTTTTAACACGCTCACTAAATAACTACATAGACTGGCTTGCTAAGCCTGAATGACAATCGCCTTTTTTGGCTGGATCACTTATCTTAGTGATGGGAATAACTTTATACGCTTTCTGCACATATTTGTGTGGCTAGTCTGACATTGTTTGTACCGAGTTTTTGCAGACCGATACAAGATTTTCTTTCTTTAGCATCTTCATACTCAATAGGCAGGAGTGGCCTTAGTAGGAGTGGTAAGCAGTGAATTATTTATTCAGGCTACTTGCAACAGGCTAATTATCTGATAATATCGTTAGTGATTTGCTGCCCCGCAAATCCAACGCACCTGGTACGTTAATTTCGTGGGAGGCTAATCAAGTTATTTGAACAGCTGGAGATAAACACCTTGTCGTATCGATTTTCTGATTATAGATACAACAGGTTCATTCCCTAAACGTTCGTATATACTTTAAGTGTATACAATCGGAAGACCGCTTTCTTTTGTGGATTCGTTCTTCTTTCATCCCAAAATTCGTCCATGTAAACTGCCTTAGTGACCATCCAAATTCTACACATTTAAATTTGCCTTAATGAAGAGCCTAAATTAATCGGTATTGGAGGCAGTGAGAAACCCTGGCATAGTTGTATTCTCAAAATGATTTAATGCTTTAGAAGTTGCAGCATTTCCATAACAAATGGTAGTTTTGCTGCTGCTGATACAATTAAATAATCTAGTCTTATGCTTCGCTGCTTATCACTATTTCAGTTCATACTGCTATTTCTACTTCCTTTAATGTAAACTTTTAGAATCCTGTAGGAGTTTTAATGTTACCTTGAACAGCAGAAAAGAGAGGTGTTGTTATAATGAGGCCGAATTTCGAAATTTAGTCTTCTTGTGTGGGAAGATTCTCATTGCCACTCTCCTCTCCTCAATAAAAGAAAACACTCTAATATACAGTCGAAAGATGGAAATAAAACGGTCCTAGATAACTCGACCAACTATTTTGTTTTGAAAATTGGAATCTGCTCTGTGAAACGAATAGCTTTTATTATCTCTAACTAGTCTTTCGCCTCCTTGTGGGATATCCTTCCAGTGGAATTTCGATTGAAATTTGATAAAATGAACTCTTCTCATATACCTCACCTCCTTTAGGATTATTTCACCAATATGATATATTCAGAAAGTCGAACTCCTCTAGAGGTGTTCTGTTTACTTGTTAAAAGTAAAATGACTGCGGGTAGATTCCAAACCTATTCAGTCCGCTTATTCAATTTAAATTTAATTCTGGAAATCGATAGTTTACTTCTAAATTCAAATTAAATCAGACTAATGGTTTCGCTGATATAAAAGTCTATTTTTCGCGTAGTTTTATCAAACTTTTAGAAACTGTACTACAATTAGGGCTCTCTGTGCACTTACAAGGTAATTCGGTAACTCAACTATTAAGCCTTATCTACTTTATCGTCGTCTAGATTTAAGTTTAGCTGTGAGCTTTGAAACCAACACAATAAGAAAGGCTTTATTATCTCTTATCTTCAAGTCTATGTTGATATTTGTAATAACCTCCATTGTTGTCTGACTTTTAGTGCTTTGTATTTCCCTTTATCCCTGCCTTGTGGAGACTTTTCTTTTGTTGTGTTTACAATTTTAGCACACACACACCGAATATCATGTTTATCTCGTCTTTTCTGTCACGGAACTTTATAAGCCCAGTTGAATATCGATTATCTTCTCTGCTAGAAAACTTGTCAACTACGATGGTGTTTTACGCGAAGTTAATGCGTTAAACCGAGTATAGTCGTGCTCAGGGTTAAGAGAGGTCGAAATGATCACCACATTCGAAATTGTACTTCGCCACAAACTGTTCTTCATAATTCAGTTAAGCCTCCATTCACATTAGTTAAGGCGAATAAATATCTCTCATTCGTATCTTCCCATTACATCACTTTTCCCATCGATTCATCCTATGCCGTTTTTGACTTTTAAGCATCCCATCTAATACTCCATTTACTGAAATATCATCCAAATACTTGATTACCCCTTCTCTCCCCCTTTTCTACTGTCCTAAGTTTTCTACCAGGCCGGACCTATTTCGAATTTCATCAGTATATTTAGAAACTTTGAAGACCAATAGCTTTGTGCGTTTTCACTGTCTCATGCTCTGAACTTTTCCTCAAAAACAAAATCTTTTAGACTTTCATTTTTTTGCAGATTTAATAACAAAAGTTGTTTTTAAACCATTAATTAATTGTCTTGACCAATTAATGTATCCTAGTCCAACGCGAGCTGACATAGTTACATGATAGTGCATACGATATGGAGATTATTTATATTCATTTACTTCTCACTCCAATGTTTCTACTGCTGGGAAACTTGCATTTTCAATTTCAATCGATACTAATTTATTATTTGCTTCATTTCGAGAACAGTAACTTGAATGAGTAACACCTCCCAAATCTAAACATGCTTTAAAGCATAAACTGAGGTCTCCCTATTTTAACTGCCAAAATTAAGCCTTCGGCTTACAATGTGCAGATTATGCGTAATTTAAACAGTGCTATTAAATTATTCAATAAAATCATTAATCATAAGAATTCATGCTCAGTCTTCGTTTATTTATGATCATTTTGGTAGATATTTAGTAAATTTCCTTGCAAAATCTCATCGATTTAGTTCTTGGGGTGTATTAATTTTGGTCATAAAAATTGTTTTACGTTTTCATTTCAGATAATAAGCATTAGTAATAGGAAAATTGGACTTTCTAAAGTTCTCGTGCCAATTAATTTCCAATAAATCGATTATATGATGCGATGACTCACTTCGATGTCCTCAATTATTACAGATAAACCGGCACATTCTGCATCGATTAAATCACCTTCAGCTCAAAGTACAGAATTACCGTAATTTCCATCCATCACTTTGGAAGCCATAATTGAATTTCCTGGGTTTTCCTCACTAAGCGCCACCTTGACCTAATATTTGATAGTTCGAACTATTTTAAGTACATTCTCGTTTTCATCGAAATTAAAATACTTTTAAAAGCCTTCCTTTAAGCACAATTAGTAAGCGCTGCAAGGACTTTCAGAGGTATTGGTACTGTACTTACTTCTGTGAAAGAAAATTATTTATTTGCAAGCTTTAGTAATTACCGTTATTAATATCGAGCTCTTTATTTAACTCACGTCCTGTTTTATTAAGTAGTCACTAGTTATTGAATTTATGAAAACTTGTTATTTTTTAGACGCTGTTCAAGTTTCCCTCTATTTTCCCAATCGAAGTGAAAGTTTGTCATCCAAAAAAGAATAATAATTAAAAGAATAAGCTCACGAACACATTAAATCTAATTTAAATCTCTTTTTTATATCTTTTATTCAAGTTATTTTGTAAAACCTGTGTAAAATTCGAGTGTGTATATAGCCTTTTTTGATTTTATTCTGTGCTGATTGCAATGGCTTCATCACATCAATTCTCAAATTGAATGTCACGACTCAAAACCCTTCTTTTCCCAAATAAGTCAGAGGAGATTTTTAAGAAGTCTACAAATGAAATCATTGTATTCAAAGCTGAACGAAATTTTTGAACAATCGATTCACTCTCCCATTGGTCCAAAGTTCTTCTGATTGACTCTTTTTAAAGGGATTAGAATTTGAAAGTACTGCTGTTTAGAATTGTCCAAAATGAACCTAGGAAGGAGAATATTTACTAATAATAGAAGTAATAATATACCATTGTCAAGTCAATCGGGTGAAAATGATGTTAGCTTGTGGAACTGTGGAATTGTTTTTTATGGGCGAACTTCCTCAAATGTTCTCAATTCATTTATTCGGCAACACTTTCCTCTTGCTATTCATCCATTTCTCCTTCATGAAGTACCTCTTCCAACTCCAAGCATTTGGAGCCACCCCGTCACCCCAAGTTTCCATTGGAGCCCCTAGTCAGAACTTTTTCTCATTTTGGCATTGAACCTAGACAAGTACTGCTCTTTAATAATCTGGCACCCAGGAGAACCTTAAAGCTATCAATACTGATCAGACGTGCTTGGGAGAATGTGCAAATGGAACTCACTGACCACTTTGTGTCAGTCAGTTTGCTTTCATGCAACGTGTTTTCAGGTTTCACTGTGTGCTGAAAACCTGGTGTTTTGTCCGTTTATAAGCCAATTTACATATGAGAAAGGTTACACTTCAAAATCACTTGTCATTTAGTTAAATAATATGATTTTCTTGCCCAAAGCGAAAAAATGTAATGGCACGTGAAACTGTCGTGTATGTGTGTGTGGGTGAAATGTTTTGTTACTAAGGCGATGGAGGAGGGTGTAAATCGCGTAGTCATGTCAAAAACCAATATCATGTGTGAGTAGTGGTCTTTCACCCACCAGTAAAGCATGCTGACATCTCTTTGAGTGATTACGCAAGCTTTCCCAATGACCTCCTACTCAAAGTGAGGGTGGTAAGAAGTACCCGTGACTAACTTTTATATCAAGATAAGTAAAAAAAAAAGATTATTTTTCATTTTAACTCTAATCGAAATAAAAATAAATCCTACGTGTCATGACATTTTATGACTTTTCTGATCGATTTGATTGACTTATTATCATCGACCGTTAGTTGTCATTTTCACATTGGATTTTATAATAGATTATATCGATTTCCGATTTCCCATTCATGTTCTTTGTAAACAAAGCATATCTTTCCACATAAGTTGCTTACGATTGCTTCCCCCTCCCCCCTCCCCACCCCCCTCCTTCTATTTTGATCGATATTGGCACCTCTTGATTTGCTGCCATGTAGTATGCATTTTTACTAACCGCCTCCCAAGACGTGTTGATATTCCGCTTATCGCATTAGTCCTACGTTCAATTTTAATAACACAAATCTTGATTAAATGATCTAGGAGCACAGCCATGCAATGTGTTTGTCATGAAGGGAATATATTTGTTTTTTAAAGGTGGCTTTTATTGAACATCTAATAGAATATATATTAATCATTTCCAATAGACTGCACCGTAGCACGAAAATTCATTCTGTGCTTATCTTGCCTTCATTGGATGGAAGGTGCATTAATCGGGCAGAGGCTACCTGAGATTGAACTCGGACATTTAGATCCGCAGTCTAGCGTCCTACCATAAAACTTTACTTCCCTTTCACAGCCCATTCATGTCTAACTTGCTTGTATGGCAGTGCTGATTTGATTGACTTTTTTTTCTTGTCAGGTTCTTTTTGGAGTGTGCATTGGCCAGACAGTGAGATCACAAATCCAAAAGAAACGAAAGCCCCGACCAAACAGCCGAGGCTTCTTCCGAGCACTTCGAGATCAAATTCCCTATGTGCGAAAAGCCCCTGGACCAACTTTTGTGACTCCCTACTAGAAGACTGAATTTTAGTTGCTTTTTATACTTCTCTTCCACAACTTTCTTCTGTGTGTGCTTTTAAATACCTTCTCTGAACACAAAATTATCCTTTTCTAATACATATTTGTTTTTGTTAATGACTCCAGGTTTTTATAGTCATATCTGTCTGTGCGTGGGTTTATGAAGGTATAAATGATTCAAGGTGACATGATCACTAATTCTACTAAATAAATTGATCAGCAAGATCTGAATGTTGAACATATAAACTCAAGGATTACTTTTTGAAAAATATTCCAAATAAGTATTAGGATACTCTAGAGTGGGTTATAGAAAAAGGTGGATAAATTAACGCCTTCAGTACTTAACTTTGATTGTGGCTCATTAATATACCTCTATCCAAAACCCGTTGCTTGACTCGCTAGACTGTTCAGATGCTTGCTTTACAGGTGTTACCCCACGATTAAAACCTGTAGAGAAGTGGTCTCTATGATAATTGGCTAAACAGGCAGCCAATCATTTATCCCCTTTCCAAGTCTACACAATGAAGGTTATTTTGGTAGTAAAACCGTAATTTGAGTCATGTGATTTCTTTTTTGCATCGTCTTGGAGTCTGGGTAGCTGTAGCTTTAAGAAGAAGCAACTGAGGTGTTATAAAGGTGCCCAGAAATTTTGATATCCACAGATGAAGAACTAAGTGATTGATCAATGTGTTAGTCTAGCACAATACTGTAAAGTGGAGATTTAAAGTCTATTAATTTTCATAGGGAGGGGTGTGTGATAGACTTGCCTACACGTGCTGCACCCTGGGCAACATATACTCATAAGACAAAAATGTCTATTAACTGGCAGTTGACTTTCCACTTCAAACTACCATGGCCCCACTGTGTGTCATATTCGTCCCCTTTCACAGCACTCACCTTACCTTACCTTTCTCCCTACCATTGTGTCTGCCTCGCTTACATCTGTGAATCACTCTTCTGTCCCCCCCCTCCACCACCCCTTGACTTTTTGTTACCTTGATTTTCTTCCCCTCTGTGAAGTCCGAAGTCAACTAAAGGGCTAGTGATAACTACCAAAACGCCTGCCATTTCATATAAATAAATTAATATTTTCATAGAGATAGTGTATGAAATGAAATTTTGGTGAGCAAATTTTATTCCCTACCAGTCATGTAAGCGAAAACTTATACTCTCACTTTGTGATTGCATCAATGGTTGCGTTGGCAGTCAAAGGACCTACAGAATTCCACTCATTAACTCAAGAATATGGAAGACTTTCTAGGCTTGCCTTATGTTTTATTTTTTCACAGTCTAAAATGACAAGTATTTTGTGGTTTATTGGGTATGTTTTTTGCTTAAAAATTGGCATTTTCACCTCTTAACATCCAAACCGAAAATTTCGTATGACATCTGTGAGTCACTCTTGTATTCCCCCTCCCGAATTCTCCTCACTTTGATGTTCCTCATCCCCTCTGTGAAGCCTGTTATCAACTTAAGGGCTAATGATGATTATCAAAACGCCTGCCATTTGTTATAAGTAAAAAGATTGATGTAGAAAACGCATTAGATGATCTAACAAACTGTTAACAGGTGGGCAAAATTAATGAATAAATTTCGAAAATAAACGAAAAATAAGCTGTCGAACGCAACAATAGAAAGTTTATTAGAATGAAGAAGAGGTACTATGATAATGAGTAACGTATTCGGGCATCGTTACCATTGATACAGAAAGCTTACTTAGAATAATTTATTAATTTAATTAAATAACTGCATTTTATCATTTTAAATTGACTAATGCCTTCATTGGATTTTGCTTTGAAAGTTTATTTATTTGTTTATTTATTTTAAATGACAAGTAATTTGATAGATATCATTAGCCCTTTAGCTGACTTCGGGCTTCAAAGAGAGGGGGAGGAACATCAGACTGACAAAAAGTCGAGAGGGGAAAGAAGAGTGATTCACAGATGTAAAGGAGACGTACAGACAGACACGAAGACAGAGAAAAGGAAAGATGAGTACTGCTGAAGGGGTCGAATATGGCATACAGTGGGGTCATGGCAGTTTAAGGTGTGGGTATACGTTGCCCAGGGTGCGCCACGAGGAGGTATGTCCATCTCATTCTCCTTGCTTTTAAAGAAAAAAGATTATTTACGGCTTGGACTTTCATTCCAAAACGTTGCACCTGGGACCCCACCTCCTAGGTGTAAAGCAAAATTTAAGCTCCCTAAATTATCATACCTTCTAATGAGAACTCATATATTATATTTATTTCCTTCATAATTTAATAACGATTATATTTGTACTATTAATGTTTTACAATATTTACTTGTAGCCGCTTACTTCTCAAATAAGCCCCTGGTTTATCCCATGTGGCATAATAGACCAGTATGGAAAGCTTTTGAAGTTAGCTAAGCTACCTCAACGATATAGGGGAAACCGACGTATTGCTTGGAACGCGATAATCTGACACCTGTCTGTCACAGAGCTTAGTCATGAGTATATTTAGGTGATAAAGGTAATTCTAAACAGGAAGCGTGGGAATAGCTGCATGACAAAATACTCCAGAAGTGGACGGATAATAGCTCCAGAAGTGAGTTGAGCTGTAAACGAAGCAGGAGTAAGGCGAGTATATTACGTTTGTTCAATTTATGATCACAGAAAAAAATCATGATACTATTTGTATTGGAATAGATCTAGCATAACTTGAATAAACCTTATTAGCTTGTAGCGGATTGCCACTTTATTCTCGAACATGTAGCGGATTGCTACCTTCGTAAAGCCTTGGTTAAAGACTTGTAGCGGATTGCTACCTTAGTAAAGCCAGACCGGTTGAGAATTGTAACGGATTGCTACCTTAGTAAAGCCTGACCGGATTGCATTGTAGCGGATTGCTACGCTAGTAAAGCCTGACCGAAATCTCTATGGCAGATTCTCCAACACCTAGCTAGACTCCCAGAACAGCTAAGCTATAGCTCCACGGATTGCTACGCTAGTAAAGCCTGACTGACTCAGAAATATTGCTACTCTAGTAAAGCCTGACTAACTCAGAAATCTCTGGCTACGCTAGTAAAGCCTGACTGACTCAGAAATCTCAATGGGAGATCCTCCTACATCTAGCTAGACTCCCAGAACCAGCTAAACACCTTAGTAAAGCCTGACTGACTCAGAAATCTCGATGGCAAGATAGTCTCTATGGCAGATTCTCCAACATCTAGCTAGACTCCCGAGAAATCTCTGGCAGATTCTCCTACATCTAGCTAGACTCCCGAACTAGCTAAGCTATAGCCCAGCTATAAAGAAAACAGACGTATAATTCAGCTAAGCTATAGCCCAGCTATAAAGGAAACAGACGTGTTGCTATAGCCCAGCTATAAAGGAAACAGACGTGTAGCACGGGGCGCCCAGCTATAAAGGAAACAGACGTGTAGCACGGAGTACGCAAAGGAAACAGACGTGTAGCACGGAGCACGCTATGAAAGGAAACAGACGTGTAGCACGGAGCACGTTTATTAGGTGAGTATCTTGCAGACAAAGTGTACACGTAGGGGGCCTAATCATGATCAGAATGGGGGATTAGGTTAAACAGAGGTTAAT